TTGGCTAAAGAAGCTGTAGTACATATATACAATGGAATATGACTCAGCCATAAGAAGAGATGAAATACTGCCATTTGCGACAACATGGATGGACCTCGAGATAATCATGCTAAGCGAAATAAGCCAGACAGAAAAAGTTGAAAATCACATGATATCACTTTTTTGTGGGATATAAACCTAAAAGCAACAAAAGTACGAGACAAACAGAGACTCATGGACATGGACAATAGACTAATGGTTACCAGAGAGTAAGGGGAGGGGATAGGGGCAAGATAGATGGGATAAAAGGGGTCAAATATTTGGTGATAGAAAGAAATCTAACTATGAGAGGTCAACACACAATGTAAATATATATACCTTACTGTTAATGTTCAGCTAAAACTTACCAGATTTCATTAACCAATGTCGCCATTTAATTAATTAATTTAAATTTTTTTTAAGAGAAAAATAGTTATATATCAAAAATATGAATAAAGAATGGCAATAACTACATTTCTATCACCAAATACTTCAAACGAAAAAGAATTAAATGCTTTAATCAAAAGATAGGGTGGCTGAATAGATAAAAAACCAAATCCCTTACATATGCTATATACAAGAGACTCACTTCAGATTAACAGACACACACAAACTGAAAGCAAAGAGATAGAAAAAGGGTTCATGATGGACCTAGAGGGTATTGTGCTGAATGGAGTAAGTCAGGCAGAGAAAGACAATTTCATATGATTTCACATATATGTGGAATCTAAAGAACAAAACAAACCAACAAACAAACAAAAACAGAAAACAAACTCATAGATACAGAGAACATTTTGAGTGTTACCAGATGGATGGGGGTTGGAGAATTGATTAAAAAGGGGGAAGTAATTAAGAAGTACAAATTGGTCATTACAAAACAGTCATGGAGATATAAACTATAGTATAAGGAATATAGTCGATAATATTGTAATAATTATGTGTGGTGTCAGAGAGGTACTAGATTTATTGGGGTGATCAGTTCGTGAATTATATAGATGTCAAATCACTATGCTATACACCTGAAACTAGTATAATATAGTATGCCAACTATAATTTAAAAACAAAAATTATTATTTTAAAAAAATGATGCTGCTGGTGTTGTTTAACTTGTTTATGTCTTGTATTTCCTGTAAAATGGGGATTAGATCTAGAAAATTTATGAGATTCAGATTACTTTTTGTGCATTAGTATTTTATATCTGGTGGTGTGTACTTTCTTTTCTTTTACACCAAAGATGTATAATATCTAGTTTGGCTTACTTCTACTAATGCTAATATTAATTGAGAGTTCAAGTGGCATTAGTCTGTTCTCTTTATTATAAAGTTTCCCATTAATCTTTCACCCAATGGTTTTATTGGTATTGTTGATGTTATTGGTATTATTGTTGATATTATTCATTATTTCATTGCTTGGTATCACATTTCAAAATATACTTATTGCTTCCTTTTATTTACTAAAGTATTGACTTGGTCCTTTTAGACTCTCCAAAAGTAACTAATGAGGCTTTACTTTTAGGAACTGTTATGAACTCATGGAATTTTACATAGTTTATGTTTTTCAATCCATTGCAGTTGTTATTTATTTTAGGCTCACATAATCTCATCTTAATTCAGTGGGAACTCCTTCAGGTTGGCTTGTGACCTGATCCCTTTTATCTTTGATAGCTCCCCTGATTTCTGAGACAAGATGTCCCAAGTTTAACTCATACACTTCTGCTCTAGATCTGAAGTTAGGAATTTCTCAAGAATACTTAGTGCTTTTCAGAGAGAAATGGTATATAGATACCACAATCTGGGTGCTTGATATACTGATTGCTACTAGGTTATCATTGCTTCTAAGCTTTCTAGGAAAGATTTTTTTTTTTTTTAGGAAAATAAATTATGAGTTCATACTGTATTTCCAATTGAAATTTAAGATGCAAGGCTTTTACTTTGCTTCTTTGATTTTTTCATTATGCATTGAATTATGTCCCCCCAAAATTCATATATGTGTTGAAGCCTTAACCCTTGATGTAGTGGTATTTGGAGATAACATGGTTAAATGAAGTCATAAGAATGGGGCCCTAATGCAATGAGATTGGTGTCCTTATAAAAGGAGACACCAGAATGTACTCTCTCTCTCACACAGAGGAATGGCCATGTGAGGACGCAGCAAAAAGGTGACCATCTTCATACTAGGAAAAGACCTGTCACCAGAAAGTGCCCCTGACGGCACCTTGATCTTAGACTTCTAGCCTCCAGAACCATGAGAAAATAAATTTGTGGTTTAAGCCACAAACACACACACACACACACACACACACACACACACACACACCTCCTCTGCTCCTTTCATTACATGGTCAATTCCCCAGTCAATTCTCCAACACAACTTCTCTCTTTCATTCCCAACTGCTCCAGTTCAGATCTTCACCATCCCCTAACAGAGCATCCAGCCTCCTAACTCTGCAACCTTTATTCTGTCTTCCACACTCCTATCAGAATGATCTTGAAAGTTAGCAAAAGTACTCGTATTTTCCAAAGGCTCCCCATAACTTAGAAGAAAAAATGAGGTTATTAACAAAAAAATGCCTTCTGGAGTTTAGGCCTGTCTTTGTCCAGATTCAACCCCTGCCACTCTTGCCCTTACCCCATATTCTGGCAGTCCCAGATTCCTGCTTATCATACTATATTCTCTCACACCCCAGCACCCCTGCACATGCTCTCCTTTAAGCTTCAAATGCCTTGCCTACATCCCATGTCCTTCTCAAGTTCTGGCCTCTGGCCAGGGGTTATCTACTGATCAAGTCTCTTTTCTCTGCAACGTATGCACACCTTGCTCTCATTACCTGTGCTTGCTATATAATTTTCTTTATTCACCTGTCCCTAATAGACTGTGGTCTTGTAGGTAGGGGTTTCCTTTGAATCACTTTTTTGTCCCCAGCGCCTAGCACAGTCTGAGAGTAAGTTTTCCATAAACCTATCCTAAGAAAGAAGTGAGCGTCGGACAGACTAATGTATGGACGAATTCTTTTCCCAGCTTTCTTTCATCAGTTGCTAAGATATTTAAATGATCAAAGACAATTGACCATACCCATTATTTCGCCCCCCAAATTGTCTGTGCCAGTAGCCTATTGTTTTCTGTTCCTCTTAACAATTTCCGAACAGCCTAATACATTCCCAGATTTCCCTCGATCTGAGAAGGCATCAAGCAGCCTTCTCATGGTCCAACTAATTCGTTTGTATTGGTGGGTGGGTGGGTGGGTGTGTGTGTGTCCACAATGGACTTCTCTTCATCTCACAAATATTGAGAAATAACACCTAAAATCATAAAAATCTACATAAGTTTGTCTTAAAAGCAGCTGTGGGGGTAAAAGAGCTTAAGTATTAATGTCAGCATTTTAGCAGCTTGCGATGTTTCAATGTTTGATAATGAAGTTCCTTTGCTTTAGAAGGTCTTATCCAATTACTGGGAGCTCAACGGAAGAAGAGGAAACCAAACGGAACAGGAAAAGGAAAGGCCGGAATCTCCCACACTCCGGTGTTCCTGGGTGTGGGAAAAGGAGAGTCCAAAGTCCCCGGTGGACCCAAGGTGCCGGACTCCCTAAGGAGACGTGGGCAGAGTCCTGCCTTTAACCTCGCCCAGAGCTGAAGGGACCCGCGACCAATGAGAGGGGCGGTCCGGGGTGGAGCGACCTCCGTGCGTCGTGACGCCACCACGTTCCGATCGGCTCTCCGCGGGTTGTGCGCCGGAACAGTGGAACCAGCAGGTTCGTATGGGTTATTCGCTGTGGCAGCAAGGGATGGATTCAGGGTCCGAGGCGCCGCTCAGTGAAAGTTCTCAGAGCAAGTCGAGTCGCCCAACCTCCGGGTTGTCCGGGGCGGAAGTATCAATGACGCCAGCCCTTCCCGGGCCAAACGGGACGAGCTCAGTATTGACTAACTGATCTCGAAAGCAGCCGTAAGTCAAGATCTTCAGCGGAGAAGACATCCCTGCCACTCAGCCTTAGGACACCGTCAGTATCCATACAGGTAGCTTTTAGGGAGAGGCACCCCAGAGGAATGAAAGGAAAGGAAGGACACCCGTAAAAACCAGCGTTTATTCGCGCTGTTGAGCGCCTTTTAAGTTAAATTCGGAAAACACCTATGAATAGGCCATGTTATTCCCATTTTGCAGAGGGGCAAACTCAGACTTAGAGGAGTTAAAATTACAGATTTGTAAACAGTGTAAAGATGGGAGGTTGGGTAGTTAAGGAAACAGGGAAACGTGTAAACATCTCTAACGTGATTCCAGAAGGCCAACAAAAACTGTTTCTGAACTTGGGCAGTTCTAGTAACAAAATTCATTTGGTGAGTCTTAACCACAAGAATATTAAACTGAAATTTGTCTTTCAGATAACCAAAGCCATCTGAAATGTCAGTAGCTCGTTCATCTGTCCATGCCAAGTGGATCGTGGGGAAGGTGATTGGGACAGCAATGCAAAAAACTGCTAAAGTGAGAGTGACCAGGCTTGTTCTGGATCCCTATTTATTAAAGGTGAGAAACAGCCCTATTTTCAGTTGGCACTGATAAATCACCAACATGTCCTGGGTTCTGAGCAGAAAAACATTCTGCTATCAGTAAAAATGCATTGAGCATCTGCTGCAAACCAGTTACTGTCCTGGTCCATGGGTGTAACAAAGCGAATTATTGGTTTGTACTCATATTCTAAGGACATAGAGTTCATTTCAATTCAATCTGATAACTGCTGTAGTCTTTCTGTGTGTGACATATGGGAACAGAGAGCAGGACACGTCATTCTTCCCAGGTTGCTGAAAGAGAGCATCCTCAAGAGACATTTGAGTTGGATCTCAGAAAGGGTTTTATCCAAAGCATCAGAATGGGGAAAGTCATTCTGGCCATGATGAGTAGTTTGCAGAAGTTCTTTTTAGCCAGGAGAGGGTATGACATTCCGTAGGGATAGCAGGTGTTTTGGCAAGGGTAAGCCCAGAGTTTGATGCTGCGTAGGTACCAGATGAATGAGTGCAAGAAAAATCAGAGCTTCACTGTGAAGGGTCTTTTACATTGTATTTTGGATTTCATCAAAGGAAAGACAGACTTGGAGATGGGTAGGAATGAGGATTGGAGGTAAGGAAATAGGTAAGGAAGCTATTGCAAAAGTCTAGGATGAAAATGATAAGGACCTGAACAGCCCGTGGAGCAATGGGGATGTAGTGGGAAAAGTAGATTTCAGAAAGAAAGGACAGAGTCCTTGATCTGTTAGATGTGTAAGGGAGGGAGGGGGAAGTGCCAATGGTGTTTCTGCATTGAGGGTTGGGCACACAGGTTGGTAGAAATACCAGTTGTTATCTGAGATCAAAAACAGGAGTAAGCTGAAACATAATGGCATGATCATTGGCCTTAGAATCAGAAGATCTTAGTTTGAATACTGACTGTTGTTTTCTAGCTGTATACATTACCTAAGCCTGTTTTTCTCATCTGTAAATGAAAATACCTGCTGTGGCAAGTTGTCTTGATTCTAATTATTGTTTGTGGCTTGTTTGCAATGTTTTGAGTCAAGCATAGAGCTAAGTGCTTTACATTTGTTATAACATTTAATTATCTTGATAACTTTAGAGGCACGGGTATTTGAGCCTCATTTTATAGTGGGGAAAAAAACTGAGCTTGGAATTGTTGAGTGTCTTGTCCCAAATCACACAGCAGTGGTGAGAGTAGCATGTTTATAGGCTGGAGAGAAGGCTCCACTGGGAAGGAAGAATTTAGTGTAGAGAAGGATGATAATTGATAGAGCAAGAGTACTGAAAGTAATAGACTTTGAGCTCAGGGACAGGATCAGCTCTGGAAAAGTCATTATTGTTTTCCAGAAATTAAGAAGCTAATTTTTGTATTGAAACCTTCTTAAGTATGTTATGTTTTTTATCCTCCAAGTCCTAGCTTGTTTTCTATACATTTTTTTCATATTCTGTACTGTACTGCCAGATCACAGATGGGAACTACTGATTTGTTCTTCCTTCTCTCAACAGTATTTTAATAAACGAAAAACTTACTTTGCTCATGATGCACTTCAGCAGTGCACAGTTGGGGATATTGTGCTTCTTAAAGCTTTACCTGTTCCACGAACGAAACATGTGAAACATGAGCTGGCTGAGATCATTTTCAAAGTTGGACAAGTCATAGATCCCGTGACCGGAAAACCCTGTGCAGGAACTACCTACCTGGAAAGTCCAGATAGTTTGGAAGCCACCCACCTAACCAAAAATCTGGAAGAACTCAATATCACTTCAGAACAGTGAAGGAAGATTAGAAAAAGGAGCCAAAGGGAAAAATTTAGAAGTCTGCCTTATGGAAAAAGAAATTTTTCTAAGTTTCATCACAAACTGGCCAATTTCTCTTCTGGTATTTATGAAATAGCTAAAAGTAAATGAATAAAGAGTTTGTTATAATTTTCCATAAAAGTTTATGGTCATGTTTCGAATTTTCGTTTTCCTGTTACGCTAAGTGTCCCTAGAAATGTTCTGCATTATATTTAAGCTCACTGCTTTAGATGTGTTATTTTTCATTCAGAGGAATCTTGAATTTATCTTAGAACCTTTATTTTGGGAGAAGAAATCTTTTTGATATCATAAATAAGAACATTAAGTGAAATTTTTTATGTATATATTCAAAATATATTCAAAATTAATTTAAATTTTTCTCTGCTTTAACCAGTTCCAAACAGAAATAATCAACATGGTTGGGGTTAGATTATATCAGATTAAAGTCTATATTAATTAGAATGTTGACATGTAGAAATAAACTTAAAAATTCTTTATTACTCATTTTAAAATCCTGTATCCTATCTATGCTACACTAAATATGTCATGAGTTCTTAAATCTGACACATAGATGAAGTTGTAGAACTTCTCACACATGCATTTAAATTGGAGAGTTTTAGAGTTTTGTTGCTGTCTGTTAATAAACTGTGATAACTTAAATTTTGACCAGAAGAAACATTAAGCTATATATTTCAGTTTTCTGGCTCCTAGAAAGATTTGGAGCATATTTCAACTTCAGCTAATATGTGTATTATACAAGCACAAGGTTTCAACCATGACTACCCTCTCAGGGCTCATAATCTAGGAGGTATATACAGGTGCCTTCATGGCAAACAGAGAAGAAATTAGGGTAACTTCCTAGAAGAGATGAGATGACGCTAGAATGGAATCTTAATGCAAGAGATTAAGGCTAGTAGATGGGTGTAGAAGGGGCATTCAAAAAGGAGAGAGAAGGGATTATAAAGTCTTCAAAAAGTATGAGAGAAAGGAGCATAACCAAGAGGTTCTGGAAGCCAGTGAAGATTGCTGGGATAATCTGAACAAGGGTAGAAATCAGGCGGAGAAACAGGCAGGAATTATACTGTAAGTGGTGGTGGGTTATTTAACATTTTTAAAGAGAGCAACATAATTAGGTTCACATTTCAATAAAAGTAATAGTGTAGAGAATGGACTGGAAGGAGAAAGATTAGAGGTAGGATTAGATTGGTACTAAGATGTACCAATCTCTCTCCAGGAAAGGAATGCCCCTTCTACACCCATCTACTAGCCTTAACTGAGTTGGACAAGGAAGATGAGAAGAGGTTGGATAGGTGATATTTCAAAGTAGAACTCTCAGGGCTTAGTACCAGGGAGGGTGAGTGAAAGAGAAGCGTTTAAGACTGTCTAGGTTTCTGGCAGGTGGGGCTCTGTGGTACCAGTTATCCTGGGAGAGAACACCTCTAAAAGTTCAAATATTTTAAGTGTTTACATGTACTTTAACGTATCATTGTTATATTTTTTGAAAAACTTGGTATAAAAATTATGCGTCAGGAAGATGCCCCATATTCTATGGCGTTGAGTAACCTAAGCCACCACCTGTGAAATAAGGGTAGCTCTCCACATTAAAAAGCATTAGAACTCCAGAGCAAAATGGTAATGGAGAAAAAAATGCAAAGTGAGTAGCCTAATAACACAAAAGCAAGGTCAGCAAAGAAATGTCTACAAGTTTACATTTCAGGAAAATAGATTTGAAAGCATTTGTCTCCTGAAATAGAGCTGAGAAATGGGGGGAATGTGTAAGTCACAAGGGTATATCGACATCACTAGCTTGAAGAGGCCCTGCCTCCCCCCTGTGCAGGACTGGGACATGTCCTTTCTGCCCTGGAGAGAGCTCACTTCAGCCTTCCTTTGGGGTCTGTCCAACCCCTACAGCCTCACTAAGCATATGCCAGTTGAGATAGGGAACTCTCTCAGCTACACAGCCTCTTGCTACCTACTCGTGTCCCCTGGCCTCCTTTCCACTGGACTTTAAGAGACAGATGTATGTCCCTGGTCTGGAGCAAATCCTTGTTGCCACCCTTCCATCCCCAGGACCTATTTCTGTCCTCTCTTTGCCATAGTAAGTTGTTCAAACATTGCTCCAGTCAGAAAACTGCATCCCTTGAGTCACAATGCTTCCGTTGCCTCCAAGATCACCAGCTTCCGATGATAAAGATGAACTGGAACTTTAAGCGAATGTAATCAGTTGGGAGGGTCTACAGGAGGAGCTAGGGCTTATGAAAGTTCTCACATACTACATGAAAACAAGAACCCTATACGTGAAAACCTACAGGAAGAACTCTATAATAAAGCTCTATGATTCTGACTTCTTTCATTAACTTTCCCCTTGTATAACTAACTACCCCACTATCTTGGCACAAAGGCCCAAAGTATACACTTGGCTTGCCATGTCTGCATGCCCTGGGTTGCAACCCTTTTTTCCCTGAAAAAAATCCTTTTGGTGACAAAACACTTAGTCGATATTATTTTTCAGTCCACACAGACAACCTCAGTCTACAAGCCTAGTTCCTGCCCCTTACCCCTCCACCCACCCTCTCCCCTCTACACAGAGACCTATCTGGGGTAGCAGAGACCTCCCAGCCAGCCAGTACTGAGGGCATTTTCCTCTTGGCCTCTGAAGACACACTGGCCTTAAAATGCTCCTTTTAGGGTCTGGGGCCTCTGCTCCTCCCTGTTTCTCCCCTCTCACTGTCTAGCTCCCTTTCTGCCTACCTTGTCTTGGTTGCAGTTTTCATAGTTACTGTGGCTCTATTATCTTATCGCAAGATACATTTTTCCCCAAACAGTGCAATCCTGACCCACGACTTTGCTTCCACTGCTGGCGGGAAATGCCCTCCTTTCTTCCATTGGTCAACTCCTTGCCTTGGGGCTGCACTGTTGTGCCAGCTCCTGGGTGTCTATCCTCCACTTCAGAGCCACATGCTCTCCTGTCTGTGCTCCCTTCCTGTCTCTTGAACCCCTCTACTTCACTTGATCCAATCATTTCACATTCTGCCTCACTAGACTGGGACCGCTTGAGGGCAGGAATGGGACCAGCGGCAGCCCACTAGTGATGAACAAGAACAATGTAGTTCCCAGCCTCGGGAGAGATTTGAGTATGTTTTCATCCAAAATGTTTTTATTAATGCCGTATGTAGGTATTTCTTTATTTTGAAAAGGCAATATATTTACATGGTACAAAATGCAAAAGGTATTCAGGGAGAAGCCTGCCTCCCAGCTTTGCCCCTCAGGTCCATGATTCCCCGAGCAACATCGTTATTCTTTTCTTGTGCATCTTTCCACGTGCATTCAAGCCTTGCCCATGTTCCTTTTGCGCACCTTGTTGCGGGAACCAGCTCCTTCCGCTGGAGGTTATTGTCTTATTACTGACCCTTCTCCGCTTTGAGCTCCTTTCTCGAGGCTGCCGGGCCTTTCGGCGCCGGGACGCACTGCGCATCCGCCCGCCGCTACTCGCGCCCTGCTCCCCCTAGCGGCGGCGCCCCGCCCCGCACCAGCCTAGAGGCCCGCGCGGCTGGGGGAGGGGTCGCGGCGGCGGCGGCGGCGTCAGCAGCTCTCTTGGCGGTGGGAGCTGAGGCGCCGGACAAGATGGCGGCGCGAGTACTTCGCGCCCGCGGAGCGGCCTCAGCCGGTGGCCTGCGGCGGGCCGCACCCTGCAGCCT